AACCCTCAGCCGTACCATGATGCATATATCAATATGTTAGATCATCATTTCCATGTATTTACACCTTTTCCACTAGCATGCGTATTTAGTGAATGAATGTAGTATAATATAGTTATTAGTGAGGCACGGAGCTCATAAGCTCAGCGCTTGGAATGTGTTTCCATGTGTAGAGGCCGTCCAAGGAGCGTTATTGTCACTAGATATTCCAGCATAGCTAAGGCACCAAAGTACGTCTTGATTTAGTTTATAGGGCATGTATTATAAACCCTTTTATGTCAATCATAATTCCATTTTATATTTAATCCAATATTTCTTTATTTTGAATATTTGGGAGCTTCTCCATATTTGTAAACTCAAATTTACTATGTCTTTTATTTTTATCACTATGTATGATTATCTTATAATGGTTACAGTCGATTTAAAAAGACAAATTTTGGGTTAGCCACTTTGGCGGTCCCATGTGACATCGTAATCCACGGATCTTCAAGTCGGACTGGATTAGGGTGTTACAGTCAAGGTTCTTCTACTTTCCAAATCATTCATGTTGCTATAGAAAATCCATCAACTTCTTCAATTCATTAAGCTCTCACCGCTGCTCATGTGCATCTTGCTACACCTGGGGTTCTTTTTTATGATGCTTGGTACCCTGATTCTAGTGCCACATATAATCTTACAAATAAGTTTAATAACCTTTAAATTGGTTCATCTTCACCTGCATCAAGTACAATTCAAGTCAGTAATGGTAACCAGCTGCCAATAAAGTTTACGACCAATCTTCTTTACTTTCTGGTTCTAGGAAGTTTAATTTGAATAAGATTTTATATGTTCTTAAAATTACTAAAAATCTATTGTATTTGAGAATCTTTCAATGCTTCTATATCACTTTTTTCTCAAATTTTCCTCTTCAGGTTGTATGCTTTGTCATTCCATAATTCTGACAACTTTTTTCAGATTGGCGATAATATGAGCCTGATCTTTGAACTCTTTCTTTAGGTCTTCAAGTTTTTCACTAACTTTCTTCTTATCTCTTTATGCTTTGGTGGCCTTGTCTTTTTGGATCTCATCATCCATCTTCCATTGGAATATCTTATTATCTAGATTTTTTCAGTTTCTCCTCCAATTCTTTTTCGCTCTACCTCAAATTCACCATTTTCTATCTCTAACTCAGATGAGACAACGTTGAGACGTTCCTCTATAGGTCAAATATCTTCATGCTCAGCTACCAGAACATTTTCATTATTTTTTAGTCTCCTCCACTCGATATGATCTGGTGTAAGCATTTCTTAAGCTCTATGGACTAGTCCAGAATAATGTTTTCTATGAGTTGATAGAGCTTTGACCTTTCTCTTATGGTTGTCTTCATGATATGAGAACTCAAACTTCCAAAGCTCATAGGTGATTAGAACGAATTGTCGTACCCCATACTACCGTAGAGCTAAAAGTAGAGTGTAGCCAATTCATTCCTATAGTTCGAGTAGCATTACTATGCTTGAGTTTCCAAATCTATAGATTATATCACTGCATCCCAACCAAGGGACTCGCCCCATGATTTTTCTTAAAGGTGTGTAAACATTTTTTTACCATTTTTCTCTCAAGATGCCTTTGCACTATTTCTGTTTGAAGAAATCTTCTAAGGGTGAATATCTATTAATGGGCTGAAGATAAGAGACCTTACCCATTTTCCAGAAATGGTTGTGGATCCAGACTTATAGCAATTGCATACAAACTATGAATCAATCTCTTCCTATTCTTTGACAATGATTTAAAGATCGAAAAGTTTCGGCAAGGATTGCTAGAGCATGATTCACCCTCATTGGAAATTGTTCGAATAACTCCACCAGAGTTGCTTCAATGTGTCCCAGCATTTTCGAAAAATGACTAACCCGTAGATTCCCAATGCAAATAGATCGATTACTTTCCACTGATTGGGATGCTCATCTATCAATTGATTGATTTCAGTTCACATAATCTCTTATCCTTTACCTATATGTTGGATTCGATCAGCCACTTAATGCTCGTATGCCCTAGCAATTGTTTCCAATCCATTTTTGAATGGTGGTCCTTTGCTGAATTTGGTGAAGACTCGATTTATTCGAATCTTTTCATAGTGCAATAGGGTCGTATATTCTTCTATGATGGGTGCCATGTCTTCTTTGTTGAAGATAAAACAATTGTAACCTGGATTCTATTACTGAACCAAGGCTCAAATCAAAGGCTCGTCTATCTTCACATAGAGCAAATATGTAAAGTTGTCATAGAATTGATGGAACTTTTGTTTTCTTTCTTTTGCTTAACTATATGAAATGCTTCACAGTTCTCAGACTTTATTGTGTTTAAGGGTGACATAACATAACTTGCCAGTCCTGACATATAGCTACCTTGCAGACTGTTTCATTTCTCTTTTGAGTTTTTTCTACCACTTTCGTATTCACTACAAGAAAATATACCTTTAATGACACACGAACGATGACACACACTAATTTATGACTTGAAAAAAATGTGTCATAAAAATGTCATGTTTTTTAAAATCTTAACGATTTATGACTTACAATAATGTGTGTCATATTTAATAGTCATAATCCAAAAAATCTGCAAAAACACGAGTACACTTTTTAATTGTGTGTCATCTGTAAAAGTCATTTTTTAATTTCCCCCATTATTTTCATCTTTTACCACTTCTTCTTCCTCCACCAATTTCAATTACTTCCATTACGCATCTGCTTTCTCAATTTTAACTCCAAATGTCATTGTAGACCAAACACTTTCTTCTTATCATCAACGTTTCTACTCCTCATCAGCGGTGCCCTCTCATTCTCCCTCATCGGACTCCGTTTTAAAGCTAGGGTTTCTCGCTAACAAATCTGATGCCTTTCGGCCTTTAACTTTCAAAGCTAGTGATGCGATCCAGCTGGCTTGTCACTACGGTCGGTGTTACTAGGAGCTGTCCAAGGCTCGTCTCAGGTCAAACCTCAATTAAGATTTTTAGGCAAATTTTAAAGGTTTGATTAAAAAAGTTGACTTTTTTTGGATGGTTTGATTTACTAGTATGCTGGTGGTGGCGACTTCGGGGACTGGATATGTGCTAGGGAGTGGAGACGTCGTCGATTTGGGGGTCTTTGTTGTACTTGTGCTGGAATCATGATGGTTGCTGCTTCGGCTAATTCGTGGAATCAGTTGTCTTTTAAATATTTGATTGTTTTCATTGAATGCTTTGTCATGCAAAATTTTAAAATACTAACTAATAGGTTATTTGTCATGCACAATCTTTTAAATATTTTCTTGAGGAGTTAAGGGTTCTTAGATATTTGATAAAATTATTCTTTCTTTAGATATTCAGAAGTATGTTTTGTAAAGAAATGTGAAAAAATTGGAGAAAAGCATTATTATTCTTGAGGTTTGCCTTTCATGTAATTCTTTCATAACAAAAGATACACCTTTTAGGTGCAAAAGCTTGCACTTTTGTAAAGCCCCTTATGTTTTGACATTCTTTTTTCTTTCCTTTTTATTAACCTTGGTAGAAACTAGGACCGGGACGGATGTACAGACATAGCTTTTAGGTGCAAAAGCTCATTGGTTATGATTTAAATCCATCGACATAGCTTTATTCATAGAAGTGATAGATAAGTACCCTAGCAAAAGGGGATAGGGAAATAAACAATTATAAATTATTTGATATTCTAGGAATCAAATTCATGACTTGCAAATTGTAATTTCTTCTTACCTTCTTTCTTGAGCACTATGTTTTTCTTACATTTGAGTTGGTCAATGTTGCAAGGATGTGACAACATGGTGGTTGTATTTTAAGTTACTTTCATGAATTAACTAGATAGACTGACATTTCAGTTAACCAATGGTATTCATGCCTATAGGTTTTTGAGATAAATAATGATACAAAAATGAAGCGAAGAAAGCTAAGACCTCTACCTTCATGACGCATTAGGCAAATTAAAAATTAGTTTCAGCCACTATTGCTTTGAAAGGACTCGGTGTTATTCTATTTGTATTTGGCTATGGCTTTGGAGTCTTCCTCCTGGTGAGATTTTTGTTTCTTAAGAGTGATTATTTTGGTTCCGTTTGAACTATGAAGTTATATGTTAATTCCACCGAGCAGTTACGTTTAATTCTACTTTAGTGTCTCATCTAATTGTTCTTTCCTTTGCCGTAGTTTGTGTATTTGCTTGTTAGCACTCCTCTTCTCTATGACTTCTACAACTATCGACCTGAAGAGCCCTAGTACGCTGCTCTGCTCGGTGATTTTCTGCAGGTATTTGCATGTCCATATCCAAAGTGTTTCCCTATGCATTACGAAATACAACGTGCAAACTTCATTGATTCTTTCATTAATGGCAGTCTGTTGCGCAATGCGGTGCATTATTGTTCTTCTGGGGGATGAAGAGCTTGATCACAAAGAGGTAACTAAGGAAGAAAGTTGTGAAGCCAAAAATTGCTTAGATATATCGAAGTGGTAGCAGGTGAAGATTGTTGATTTGTAGTGCCAGGTAATATTTTGCAGGATTATCCGTTACCGAACCGAACTTACTTTTACTCCAACCCTTTACATTTCAATTCCCTCTCTTTCAACGAACAACGGATTTAAAGACTTCTTACTGTGGAACGTCTCCGAAAGAATTCTTTGTAGAAACTGTATGTACTTAACATATTTGATTGTTTTATTTTAGTTTTCTTTTATTTATTATTTATGTGGAATTTAAAGACTAGTTCAGTTATCTTGATATGCTTCCCACCACTTTTGGGAATCCGTTATGGTTTACCGATGATGAGATGTTGGAATTGAAAGGAACAATCTTGTATAGAGCAACTGAATTGCAGGTAAATATAAGCATATAGTTTAACGTTTCTCTTGAAGATGAAATGCATGTAATTTGACTACCCATGATGATGAAAGTTAGTGTAATTGTTTATAGAAAAAGGATTTGATTTCTGTGTACAAAGATAAAGTGAAGGGTTTGGTGAAGAAACTTCTTGCTCTTGATGGAGTTTCAGAAAGGTCGGTATTAATTACATTGAATGAAGTAGGAATCAAGTGTGTTTATTTTCCTTTTTCTCAATTATGAATTGTTGTTAATGCTTCTTTTGCAGTGAGATCTGCTTTGAAGATTTCCTTTGGTAGGGATCTCCTCAAAATGAACTCTTTTTTATTCTCTCTTAAAATGGGGTGGGTGGGGACAATGAAGGAGATTGACTATGATATGATGACATTCCTTGCAATTCAAACTTTGGTGGTTAATACTGCGTGATTTCTGTAATGCTAGGGCGAATTCTATATTTTGGTCTCGTGCTCTGAACCTTCCTCTTCCACATTCTTATGTATTTCCCCAAATTCAAGAAGATACCGAGAGAACATGTCCAGTTGAAAGAAGTTCTGAGGTGACCATCAGTCATAGTGGACTAAGTGGAGAGCTTGTTAATGAAATTGATGGAAAAAGTGAGGTTGCACTTTAGTTCTTACCACTTTTGTGCCTGGATCTTTCCTCTTATTTGCTTTCACATGTGAAAGTTTATTGTATTAACATGGAGCTGAGGTTAAAGATTTTTATTTATTTTGGGTTTATATCAGGATTTGAGGGTCATGAGAATGATAACAAAGTCAATGGAGCAACTTCCACATCGAAACAAGAAGAAACTGTCTGGGTGGAGGGTCTTCTCCCTGGCATTGACTTTTGCAACCATGGTATGTTAGTTTTTATTAGTCAGTGGCTCTCTAGTCAATTGATTAGAGTCTATTCTCATTGAATTTTTTTTGTTGTTAATTTTATTTTTAGACTTGAAGGCAGTGGCAACATAGGAAGTTCCTGTCCCAAACGTAAGCATTAATTCATCATTGCTTAATTCTCAGTATTATTGGTAACGTTCTTTAATAAAATGTAAGTTCCACTGTCAATACGCCTTTTGTTCCTAATATTTTCTGTGTTGTTAATTAGTTCCCTTTGTTTGGGGCTCTGCTGCTTTTAACTGATCTATGAATTTCTTGTTTTTGCCTTTATGATATCCTTTGTGTATTCTATTTTTCATGTATATAGCATCGCAAGCCTATTTCAAAGTTAAATTACTATTAATAGTCTATTCCCGAGGACATTTAACTTATATGTTACTTATGTGGTTACCAGCTGATCGGTATGTAATTTAGTAATCTAATTTGCTAAATAAGTGCGATTGAGTAATTCCTGTTTCCATACTTTATGCATTATTGCCCGTCTTTCCCACCTTAGAGGGATTGTAATTGGAGTTCTATGTATCAAAGTGGGTATTTGAGTTGTACTATATTTCCCGTTTAGAAGTTGTGAATTAAGCATACTGATAAACATAATTGAATTATTTTGATTATTAGTTTTGACATGATTGGACTGCTTAGCATTGTACTATTCTTGTTCTTTATCACTTTATTTTCAATTTTCTTTTACAGATATGCAATGAGCAAATAACAGATTTATTGGATCCAAATCAAAGAAACCTACAGGTAGAATGGATTTTGTGCTATAATTTTGGGAAGGGGTAGGGAACAGTTGGTGCATCTGATGTTCCTACTAATTCAGTTGAAGCCAATGCTCATTCGCAGCCTGTTTCAAGAGTTCTCGACTCTGAAGAAGCAACTTCAAAATTGCAGAAGAAGCTAGAGGAGTTGCATCTAAGATCTTATAATCTGTTAGTATCTTCTTGTGATAATCTATTAACATTATTGGTTTTTTGTTTTCAAATAGCCATAGGTGATGGATATTATATTTGCAACTTAATGTGAATATATTGTATGCAAATGGATTGCTTATATATAATATGATATATATATATATATTTAGTATTATGAGGCATTAAATGTGATTTAGTTTGATTATTTGTCAATCTACAATATATATATATATATATATAACAATAATTTACGAAATACAATCACGACACACGAATGTGTGTCATATTTTTTAATGGCGTGTGCTTCAATGACACGCAATGTAAGTCATACATGCGTGTCATAAATTTATGACACACAAATATATGTCATCTTAATTTATGACGAGGGCTTCAATGACGCTCAATGAACGTCATAAATGCGCGTCATAAATGTGTGTCATAAATGTGTGTCATAAATGCGTGTCATAAATTTATGACGCACAGTTGCGCGTCATCTTAAATTCATGTCGGTAGCTTCAACGACAGGCAAATGTGTGCCATCCGCACCTATAGATGACACGCAATGCGCGTCATTAAAGGGGTTTTTTCTACTAGTGATTTTTACATTTTTAACTTTGTGTATCACAACCCCGTTTTCCATTAATAAAAGTTGTTCAAGACTAACAAAAACTCCGCAAATCAAAACCTCTTCTCTTTAATGATGCAAATGTAGAAATAAAGAAAATGAAAAAAAGAGAGACGAAGGTAGTATAATAGATTAATAATAAGAGAAGAATTATAGATTACCCCTACGAACATGATATAAACCCGACATGCATCCGTTCAAACCCGATATGCAACTGTTCTTACCTGGACATGATCTCTAATCCCACTGCTTTTCAACATAAAAAACCCTAGTTGTATAAATTTCTAGTTCGCATGGTTAGAACAGTATAATTAAAGCAGAAATAAACGTCTAATATCCTAGGGTTTTGCAGTTTTAGGTTAGGCTCTAATCTCGCACCACCATTGTATTTAGTTCTATAAAAGGGACATAAGTTCTCATTGTCGGTGCCCCTTTGGGCGTGCCAGACACCTGATCTTAAACTCATTACAAGCATATGCTGACCAAGTTAAACTCGAGAATGTACATTCCCCTATGCTCATACAAGGAATAAATTCCCGTGAAGACATAGGGTATACGAACCTCGGAGGCTAGTTGCTAGGCCCATGCGAGGAATAAATTCCTACAAAGGTATCACTTTCACCCCCACCCAAAAAGGTTGGAGCTCAGGTGTAACACCCCAACCCATACATGACCCAGATACGAATCCGAGGTGTCACATTAACTTTCAAAACATTTATTTTACAAAATAATGAAAATTTTCAACTTTTATTAAATAAAAGTGCATAATTTATTCAATTTCATTCAAAGAGTTTACAAAACTTATCAGAGCTTATACTATTCAAATCTTTTAACTACAGGCCAACTACATTCTATATAACAAATACATATATTCAAATATGTTTCTGATCTGATCTGTGAAAAGGAGAAGCTGACCTAGATCGCCTATCTTCGCTCTCTTTTTTCTTCTCAGAACCTATGTGTGAAACATTCACATGCTAAGTCTATGACTTAGTGAGGCATATACAAAATGTATGAATGAAACTTAATTACATAACAATGCATGAACAATCCACACAATAACAACAAACAAAATCATATAATCATTCATATAACCATTGTATACATACTGATATACTATCATTATTGTAATTCACATTCTTATTATTATCAATATTATTTACGTTCATTCCTTTAATCATGTCATCTTATCCTTAACAACGATGCACATCATATCATAGATTTTATAAAGCAAAATTCATAACATCATACAAGGTTTCTTTATGTTATCTCTTTTATTAGCTCATGTATACTTCTGAGAACTAAAGATATGTGAGTACATTGAGGTTATGCACCTATGCTGTCACCACAACTCGTATAAATTCTCACTAGGGGCATATAGAATTTATCCCGAAGGACCGCGTAGAAATGTCCTGAAGGACCACATAGATGTCTCGAATGATCACTCCTTAAGGATTACATATATATTCCAAAGGACCAAATATGTGTTTCGAAGAACCACATATATGTTCCAAAGGATTACATATATATCCCGAAGGACCACGTAGAACCCTCGACTCTTGGCATATAACTATACCCCTAGCTCTTATAACACATAACATGGGCATTATCATTTATGTCATTTAACATATTCATATAGACATATGGTTCACTTACACGTAGAACATTTTCATATGATTTACATTCACATATCACATAACTTATCACACATATACTTGTATTCTTTTTCATATAATCACATAGTCATATAATATTTCATATGATCTCATATGTTCATATTTATCATATAACACATATATTCTTATTATATATTTTATATCATATTCTTATATCAATGTCAATGTCAACGTCACTTAACTTATTTTACTCTTTCACTTATTCATATAATTTCATTATACCAATTTCTATAATTTATTACACCATCATGTACTCCTTTTCATATAGTTTATACATCAATGACATATAGTTTATATTCCTAGTTTCACATAATCACTATATCATATTTATTATATTCCCTTAGTTCATTTTTACATAGTTTGTCACATAAACATATATTCTCATAACTTATTATTACCTAGTTCCTATAACATCCTCATATGATTTCTAGTATCTTCGTACTATACTTATCATATAAGAATCTAACAAGTTTTAGATCATAGTTCCATTTAACATATAGACCTTCCTATATTACTTATCTGGCATATTCATATACTCATTTATGTCAATATCTCCTAACTTATATTCTATTATCATATTATCATATAGGTCAACCCTACTCAGTTTATCTCACTTTTTATTTAGTCACTTAAATCTGATTCATATAATTTATACATTGTTATCATATAATTACTTATACCCTTAGCACACAAAATAGCATATAACACCTATGACTCTATTCATGTATTCATCCATACATAATAATCATATCAAACACATATTAACAGTCATAGATTCATGCAATCAAATATTAGAAATAGACTCATCGCGAGTCTTATTTCCATACACATCATATACCAACTAATATGCACTCACATGGCCTCACTAGTCCATAATATACGTACAACTCTTGTGCACTCTTATAACTTCGAACCGTCTTGGACTTTTCTTCGATCGATATCTACATGATACATATAATCAATGTGAATATCTTAATTCTAATAACTTATAACCAATCATCAATAATCTAAACTAAATGAAGTATCTAATTCATATTTCGCTTTGAGTAGTATCGATACCCAAAGTATGGTACCGATACTTCCTTAGCTGTGGTATCGATACCAAGCCTGGGTATCGATACCCTTTTTCGATTCTAGAATCCTTATTTCAAAATGGTGTCGATACTTGCTTAATGGTATTGATACCCACAATATCGTTACTACTCCTTTGGTATCAATACTCTTTGAACAATTTATAAATTTTTACCTTAGGGTATCGATACTTATTCAACCAGTATCGATACCCATACCCCAATTATCACTCATTTTCTCTTTGAAGTATCGGTACTGAATGAACAGTACCGATACCCCTTGCCCAGAATTTACTTGTTTCACCCGAAAATTTTCCATAACTTATTTAACTTCCACTATACTAACTTTTTTTGCTTCATTAAACTCAAATATACCTACTCAAACCATCTTATATCACTTTAACTCATCAAATCATCCAATATCTCATTAGAACCCTTGAATTTAAAAATCTTGTCAATTATTCAACATGTTCTTGATTCACTTATATTATTTCTAACTTGTTAATTAGATCCTTGACAAGTCAAATATGACTTAAAAATCCATTTATAACTTTTTCCTCATCAATTCAATTAAAAACTCTTAATATTTAATCCTTCATAACTTATCCACCTTGGAGTTTCAACACACTTTAATATCTCATTAAGCTTTCTTAACACTCTAAGAATCAAAACTAAGTTTAAAACTCAAGAAATAATCATCTTACCAAGACTCACCTTTGAAATGGAGCTCACGACAACGAGGAAGAAGAAGAGAACCAAGTCTTCAGACTTTTCTTTCATTTCCCCTTATTTCCACATGTTTATTTTCCTTATAAAGGGAAGATAAAAATCTTTCCTTTGAAAATACCAATTTACCCTTACTTCAATCAATATTTATTAAACAATCTTTCACAAAATATTCCCAATTAAGTTCCTAAACTTTTAAATTTTTCTAAGATTTATCACTAAATTTCAAAAACTTTCATTTCAATCACTAACCTGGTTTTTGGGATGTTACATCGGGTATAGAGCTTGAAATGCAAGCCCTTTTTATTTTTTTTTGAAAACTAAAATCAATAGAAAATGGTTAGTCCAACTATTTATTTGAAAAATAATAGTCAAAGGTAAATAAAGATGAATAAAAAATAAATTAAAGTTTAGACTTACAATTTTTGCTCAAGAAGGGAACCGAGTAATCGATTTTTGGCCTGATTCTCAAAATCCCCAGTGGAGTCATCAAGTTGATGCAACGGTCATTCCAGGTGGATTCACATTCGATCGCTTTTAAAATAGTTGGATTAGACACCTCGAACTTATCGTTTACCATATCCATGTCTTGATTTGGGAGACGTTTGCCATCATGGAAAGATGAGCACCCCTTATCACCCTTTCAGTACCATTCAATTATTTAGTTGCCTTAATTACGAAAATTAAAATTTTAAATAAAAATTGAAATTTGATATGAATTATTTACCTTTCACAAACTTTGAATTTTAATTGAATCTCCTTTAAAAAAGAACCAAAATAAAAATAAAATTAAGATTTTTAAATAATAATATTAATAAAATAATTAAAACAAATGTTGCAAAACAAAAAAGTAAACCTGGGCACCAATTTATAAAAAATAAAGTATGACAAGGACCAAGTTGAAATAAATTGAAATTCAGTAACTAATTTATCGCAGGTGACCAAATTGATTTACACTTCAGTCGTTCGGGGACTATGAGCATGATTTAAGAAAATGGTATTTGCACTGAGATCCTTGCTATATGAAACCCCCAAAACCTATTTTTCATTTCGTTTGTAACTCTCCCCTCAAAATAATAAAGCCTCACATCCTCTCAAACTCCCTCTTCGACCGAAAACACCACTTCCCAAATACTCCAGCCACCGCTCTGTCACCCCATCCACCACCCACGGTGGTCGAAGACCCAAAACTTAGCCTAAAACCTTCTCCACACTCCCTTGAGCACGAAATCAAACCCCGATCGTGCATGCAACAACTCCCCCAGCCTAGATCTACGAAAGTAACCTTCAACTTTTACCTTTCTAACGGCGGTGCTCCTTCTCCTCAACGGTGAAAGCTAAGTATTTCCCTCCTTTATTTTTTTGTGTTACCTTTTGAGTGGTTTTCGAATGAAAGCTTATTGCTCATCTATTCATTTTTGTAGGGTTTTATAGCACTAAGGGGATGAATCTTTCCTTCTTAGCCGACCCTTCATAGTCCCAAAATTAATGGGATTAAGTAGGGATTATTTCCCCTCCTTTTCTGATCTGATTTTGGTTCTCCCTTGTCACTGTTTCTTCTAAATGGGAATGTCTTGATGTCAAATGAAATATAGAGAAACTGTTGATATTACCTCAAGTTCAGTGATGCAGTGCTGACATGCAAACAGAAAAAGAGAACGAAAATAAATTCTAAAATTGATGTGAAACTGAAATTGAGACAAGCACACTAGTTTTTAGGGTTGTAGAACTACAAACTAATAACATCTGACCAAAACATCGCTGATTAAAGTTTCCAGAAAATTTCTGCAAGATTATCCAACAATTACTGAGAAGTTCAAATCTCGTTTGTTTTCTCCCTTACCAAGAAGTTCAGTTCACTAATCTTCTGCAAGATTATCCAAACTAGCTTTGAAGGCTAAGATATAACCTTCTACAATTACCATCTACGACAGTTGAAGTTTTAGTTCTACAACAATTACTTTTATAGCTGAAGTATAACCTTCATAGCCAAGCAGTTTCTTACTTCCTATCTGACAAAGATTTACTGTACTCAATAACTTCTTAGAATCAGTTAAAATTAAGGTAAGAATTGATACAAATATTGAAACAATTGAATAAATAAGGACAATAGGACATTGAAAACAAGGAGTTGGGATAGCTATTGGTCATTTGTTGAATACATATCAAATTTGTCACTATAATATGAATCAATGATGGATTTCTTGTGTTTAAATAAATTGCATTGAACTTTGTTTCCAATTTGATTGATTTTTGGACAGAGATTGTGGAATATTTATAAATGTGTTTTGGGAACTGTCGTTACTGTTTGGGCTGAAATAGATTGAATCCTTCCCAATCCCTTTGTCTTCTGTGAGCCTGCAGACTGACGTTTTTTAATTCAATTCTACTTCAAAGTTGAACAATGAATGCCCATAGTAGCATCGAAATGTTGGATGCACATGCTTCACTCAAGTGTGTTTCTCTTCAATTATCTTTCTTTTTAGACAATAAATATAGAACATCAAGAACTTGATGGATCACAGATCATGTAACAAAGACGAGACCTTTAGGGATAGATTTTTATTGACTTTATTTTTCTGTGTGTTTGTGGTGGGTACTTTATCAACAAACTGAAATTTTCATATACCTTAGCGTAGGAGGTAGCTGTGAACTTGATCAAGAATATGAATTTTTCTTAGATGAAGTTTTAGCATTTTCTTTTTTCCATTAATAATAAATCCAGACAGTCGAGCTACAATTGGGCGACTATGAAAGTTTTTCAATTCTGGTTCATTCGTAACATTCTTTATATGCTAGATAACGATAGGGAAAAGGATTAAGGCCAAATTTTCCACTCTATTGTGACTCAATCAAGAAATTTTCAACTGGACTTTTTTTAATGCACTATACTTTCAATTTTGTTAATTTTTGGACAAAAAGTAGCAGAATTGATGAAAACCTGGCAGTTGCATGAAGGTAGATATTCCATAGAATGTTCCAGTGAAATTGTGAGTATAGTGGCAAAATTCAGTAGAACTTTACAATTTAATATTGAGCGTGTAGTTATTTGCTTGCTACAAACAGAATTCATATTGAAATAACTAACTCCCTTGATCTGTTTGTTAGCGCTTTATATTGCATTAGATGCAAAAGCACACTTGGATACACTAAAATTACTTATGGTTTTCTTCCGTATTTTTAAAGAACATGGGATAGTTTCATGGACATGCTTCAAACCAGTTCTTATTCTCAATTGGAGGTATGCTGCCCGAAAATAAGTTTGCATTAGGAATTTCCTGTCTACAGAGTGAACGACCCTATCCATCTCTAGTTTTAGTACATGCCACAAATGCTCTTAGTAGCCTCTTAGTAACCTCAAATTCTATATTATCATCAAACATAGTTTTCCATTTAGGAGCTATGTACAAACATTTTGCAGGATATCAAATTCATCTGCAAAAGGAAAGGAGGCAAGTTGAATTCAAATTTATCACACGGTGAATGGTGTCAAACTGTTCAGTCTGAACCAGACGTGATTTCCATGTCTTTTATCCCAATCACATCATTGCTTACTGGAGTTAATGGGAGTGGGTTTCTAACCCATGCCATCAATCTATACCTTCGTTGTACTGACAAAACTTAATTCATTACTTACCTGTTGCTTTTCATACAATTGCATGGTAACCATATGAACAATTCATTGAAATTTCAAACAAATATTTTTAGTTCATAAGCTGTGCAAAATAAAAACCATAGATTATTGTCTGATTGCCAATTTTGTTTCATTATCATTCACTTGAAGAGTAAGTCAGTTTTGTATCCTGCATTGTGTCATTATCAAATCTGTATTTCATTTCCACTTTACATGGTTTGTTGGTATCTGATGGTAATTTTTGTTATGTAGAAGTTCAAGATATCCTCAAATATAAATCCTGTGTCGGTAAGAAACCGATCACTTTCTCAAGTAAGCAAACAGCTAACACCTACTTCTCTAAATAAACATCAAAAATCATTTTCAGCATATATTCTGAAGCTAAAGTGATAGATATTTTTCATTTTCAAAGAAATAGAAATTAAAGATAAATGAGTTCTGTGCTTTTAGTTGGTATTTCCAAAATTTGCTTCTGGAGTCAAGGAATTGTATGCCACTATCCATTTATTGTTTTCCCTTTTACATACAGATAAGCCTTCGATTGATGAACTACATCAGTTTTTGGAGTTTCAGCTTCCAAAGCAGTGGGCACTAGTATTTGGTGAGCTTGCCCTTGGTCCTCAGAGAAAACAACAAAATAGTGCATTCGTTGCAGTTTAGCCTCATGGGCCCCAAGCTTTATGTTAACACAACACGAGGTAATATTCCCAGTCTTTTATATTGATGTTCTGCCTTTCCCATATAAGAACTCAATGTTAAGCATGGTAAAACTAAAGCATGCATTTTGATGTGACAATTTGTCTTGGTGCTTGTGCGTGTGTCATGATAATGCATTAGTTGCCACATTAAGCGCATGCCAATGATGGAGCTTAAATGTAAACCAAATTATGTAGCAAAAGATGATGGATCGCAGGCTATATTTGTGCTAAGTTAATATGCTATATCCACCAGCATAGATAAATGTTGATGGTGTCTCAAATTTATATCCTTACCTCCTTGTATTCCCTTTGATAGAAACTCTGACTCACCAATGATGTTATTTGGTCTTAAAAGAGAATGTCCTCCAATCCTGTTGTTAGTTAAATGGGTAGAACTCATTTTGGAGTAGAACTGGGGTTAGTGTTATCAAATGAGGTTACTCTACAATTTTTAGTTCGTAATTTACATCTTAAAGTTACACTTTCGTGCTTTTCATACTCCGTTTTGTCTTCATTGTTAAGGTCTATAAACCGTATTGAAAATAACATTTTTTCTCTTTTCCTATAAAATTGTCATTACTCTTAAAGTTGTTTTGAACAAAAATAAGAAAATGTTTGTGAATTTTGTTAATTTGTTGAAAGACAATACGGTAACACCCTTAAAAATTGATCAGATAGATGCTGTCAATAAGCTATCATTATAACCAATGTCGTACTTATTTACTTTGTTTTGAGTTCCTTTGACAGGTTTATGTAGATAAAAAGCATTTGGAAGGCAAAAGAGGCAACTGCTTGGAAATTCACTTGCAGCATCTCTCCTCTCTGCCGAAGACATTCCAGTTTGAGGAAAGAGCAAGCGCCAGTGTCTCCGATCCCTTGTCTGAACGCAGGTACTATGAGAAGATTCAGTGGTAGAACTTCTCCCATGTCTGCACAGCACCTGTAGAGTGTGATGAGGATGTCTCTATAGTTACTGGTGCTCACTTTGAAGTTGGAGACTATGGCTTCAAGAAAGTTTTGTTCTACGGTTGAATTTCTCTAAGTTAATAGGTGCAAAGGCCATCATGCAGCAGCCCGAGTGGGATAACTCTCCTGGCTTGGGCCAAAAATCTGGGATTATCTCAACCTTGATCAGCACTCACTTCACAGGTGCTCAAAAACAAGCTCCACACCCAACTGAGGTCAACATGAATTCGGCGTTGTACCCCAGGGTCCCTCCAGTGCCCAGCCAAGCTCCAAAACTCCTGCCGTTTGTGGACACAACAGAGATGAGTAGAGGGCCGCAGGATTTACCTGTTTGTATAGAGATTTTTAAGACAATATCAATGAATAGGATAAGATTGAATTTTTGACTACCCCATCTCAATTCAGAATGTTACTTGTTTTACGATTGAAAATCAATATTTTTTTCTCCCAACCGTATCTGTTCAAAGATTTGGAATGCAAATCATTTACTTAAATAAAAGTAGAGAGGGCCTAAAACTCATCCTATACTAATGTTTTAGTTATAGGGACAAAGACAAAAAGGACTTTCACAATAGTAGAGCGAATGATATAGCCATTACCGGTTATTTTTAAAAAGGGTAAAGTACAAAAATATCACTACTGTTTAAACAACTTTTTGTTTCTTTCACTAAAGTTTCAAAAGTAACAAATTTGGTCATTAATATTTTTTATTTTTAATAAAATTGTCACTCCACCATCATATTTGTTAAATTGGTGAAGTGGCAACATTAACAAAATGGTTAATATTTAATTTTATCCCTAAACTATTGTTAAAACGTCAAATAGAGCTTTAAACGATGATTTTATATCTAATTTACCCCTGAAAACTTTTTAATTTTTATTTTTTTCAAACACTTTGCCATTTTCACTATATTCACCGAAAAATATAAAAAAATAAGACTATTTTTTAATTATCGATTAAATTGATAAAATATATAAATATTGTGGATATATTATTGTATCACATATTTAATGATCACATATCATCAGTTCATTAAAAATAATAACAAAAATAAATAAAAAATGATTAGTCAAATAATTTAAAACATCAATTTTTTTTCAAACAACTCCTATCTAAGGTGAAGGGAAAACAAATTTTTACTGTTAATGAATATTAAACCTACAATCTAAGAGAGATGAGATATCAATTGAGATATTTTAACGAATTGTTTTAGAGATTATTAAGAAAATATTAATTTTTATGATCGAGTGATGGAAAAATAATCTTACTATTAATTTGATGACGGGGAGTGTGGTTTACTCCAAATTTAATAATGCTTACCAATAAAGAAACACAAATAAAGATCCAGTTTTTATGATTCAGTGATACATTTAATCAGTTCACCTAATACTCATCCCTCATGAATTATAACCAACCATGTCTGTTTTAAACCGGGGATTAGAGCTGTAGAAATGTTGGGCATAGGCAAAAGAAGTGTGTTACTGAACGAGTAGTTTTTCACCTGTGGTGGAGCCAAACAATCAACGCGGACTTGAACTGCTTTAATTAATGGGAACCAAACCTCGTGGGATTCAATATAACATTCTTTAGCAAGACTTGGTCTCCTCCATTTACCTTTCCTTTAAATTCTCTCTCTTGTCTCTAAAATTCCCCCCCTTTGGGAGTCTCTGAAGTGAGAGAAGCAGAAATAGCCATGGATTGGACCTCTCTTGAACTCAAGCTCATCTCCTGCAAAGGCCTCAAGGCCTTCAACTTCTTCCAGAAACTCTCGGCCTACTCCGTCGTTTCCATGGTGGTCATCAATGAACAATCGAAGAAGAAGGAAGAACACCAGAAGAAACATCTCCAGCGTCAGAAGACATCCATCGAGAGAGGAGGCAAAAACCCTGAATGGAATCACTTGTTCGAGTTCGATCTCCGAGGCTTGTCCCCTGAGGAAACCGATCATGTTTTTCTCAAGTTCGATTTGCGAGCCGACGTTTTAGTTGATCGGACAATCGGTGAAGTCCGCGTTCCGTTGAAGGGTCTGATCGATGAATATGATGGAGTCGTGCGGTACTTGACTTACCAGGTCCGCAACAGCGACGGGAAGCCTAATGGGGTGCTTAACTTCTCGTATAAGTTGAAAGGGAAGATCGAAACGAGTGAAAATCATGATTATTCTTCACCTGAAAAACCCCATTGTTCTCCAGAGAAAGTGGTTTACCCCAAGGTGGAACTCGATGATGTTATCCGCTATCCTTCATTGGATATTGCTGCTACTTATACTGTTCCAACGGCGCTTCAAGGGCAAACGCCGGTGGAGGGGAGTGATTACAGTAGGAATTTAGGGTTGCCGGTGCAGGGCGTGGCTCCTGGGGGGTACTTTGATCCATATTCGAGACCATCGCCGGTGATGCTGCAGCCTTCTGCTACATATTGGTACGCAGTGCAGTCAAGTTTACAGCGATGATTGGTATATATATATATATATATATATATATTACAGTGATGATTGTTATTGTTTAGGGAAACATTCGCGACACTGAAGCTGTTCTTTTTTCTTTCTTTTTATCGGCAGAATATCTGTCTTTTTGTTGTATTGATTTCTCAGATATTATTATATAAATGAGAATCTACTCCACTTGTAGATTAATCCCAGAAATTAGAAAAGGAATTCAGGCAAACTGAGGCCGATTGAGTTATAAGAGTGGAGGAAGACGGTACCAAATTGGGAATGAATTGTTTTGGAATGTCGACTAAAAATTGGGTGACCAAGTCAATTCCAAGTTTTGAATGGACCTGGAATGAATCTCCATGTGAAAAGCTAGTTTCTTTGGATTTCTTTCTCTCGCTCGGTTAGGGTTTGTATTAATTAACCTCGACCAACATCTAATTTTGATGTATGAGTCTTCGATGCCCGTTGGTTAATTTATTTAGATTTTAAAATTACATAAATTAAGTTAACAATCTCTAGAGTATATGATTAAAAGCTCTTAAATTGATACATTCATAGTGAGTTCAAAACCCATTAAGAGTAAAATTTTCTTTTCCTATCCTCTTAGGGGCTCAACGATTAAAGATAATGTTTTTCTCACCCCCACTAATAAAAAATATATAAATGTTAATTTTATTCTATTTTGCTACCAAATTTTATTTTTTTCAAAATTATATCTAACGTTTTGTTTCAATTTGGTATCATGTTGTTAAAAAATTAATATAATTGTTGACGTGATATTTATATTTTTTAATGATGACATGATATTATTTTATGATGACACATCAATATCATTGTTAATTTTTAATGGTGGGGATACTAAATCAAACTTAAACTAAACATTAGGTATGATGTTGAAAAAAAATAAGATTTGAGTACCAAAATGAAATAAAAATAATAGTTGTACAAAACATGTGATTTACCCCTTTCTGTTAATTTTAGAAGTGAATAATTAAAGATGATTAATTAAGGCTTTAATTTTTTTGGGTCAATTTTTAATAATTTTGATTGAAACTAACGAAATTAACTCTTAATTTTTACTCATTGTTTTAATCTGATCTTGATTTTAAAAGATCGACATATAATTCATTCATTCTATAAATTTTGACACTTTTTCGAATAAATCCAAATCGAAATAATTTAAAAATATCGAGGGTTGGATTTGTTATGTCCACTAAAACAATAAAAATATAATAGAAAACATTAAGGTTTTGTTAATTATCTTAAATTGATCACTTTCCGAGATTTATAGGGTTGAAACTGTTTTTAGGTTCAAAAATATATTTTTAAAAAAAATACATTTTCTTAAAAAGGGTGAAATCATCCCCGACCATTTTAGTTTAAGTATGATCGAATACTTATAAAATTTTACTTTATAAAAAAGATATTTAGAGGCATGCATTCAAATTAGGTTAAAAGGAATAATTTTGAAATAATTACACGTATCGAAAATAACTTAAACAAAAGAAAAATAAATATATAAACTTTTGATTTTATAAGGAAAATGGAAAATAAATATATATTAAAAGTAAAATATTATCGTTTTGGTCTAAATTTTACATTTTATATGATTAAAAACGAAGTTATTTTGGTATGTCATCATATTGTCTGTCATGTCATCACACCGTTTGTAATTTATAATATACCCAAAACTGAAAGGACCTAAGAAAGTTTTTTACCATATGAAAATGTGAGTGGGATGTATGTCACATGCATTCTCAATTTAATTTAGTTTGGATTAATTTTGAATTTAGGTTTATGGTTAATATCATTCAAGTTTGAAATTTATTTTTTTTAGATATTGTCGTTTAAACTAATTTGTTATGTCATTATAACTTTAAATTACATTAAATTTGAGTTGATGATATTTTAAGTTAAATCAAGATGAATTTCAAAGCTAAAATTAATGTGTGGATTTATTTGCTTTCAAACGTTGGAATATGATATTTACTTTGGTTTGAAATTAGGCCGTGAGAGACTTCTGGAAGCATTAAAGCCGGTTGCTGATTTGTGTACACTTGTTGGTTCAACGCAACAATTTGGTATCAATATTACTTCTAATTAAGGACGTAAAAAATAATGATTTTTTTTATAAAAAATATCTATCGGTAATTATAAAATAATATTTATTTAAAAAATTCTATAAATTATTAATAACATACACATATTCACCGTTATATGTTAAAAAATAATATTTTTTTATTATTAAATTGGTTTGATGGTTGAACTTCACATATAGATCTTGATTTCTTACATCGGTTTTACTTTTATTAATCCTAAAAGTAAAGTTAAAGACTTTTCTATTGAAAATGCAATTTCTTTCTAGAAGGTCCGTACATCAGTTATAACTTACCAAAAGTAAAGGATTTTTTTATTAGAAAACCCTGAAAACCCTTCTTTATTAATTTATTAGAAGAATAAGCTCATCCATAACTATTTGGAAAAATGATTTCCAAATGGACTACGTAGAAATACCTTGCGTTTTGAAAAAAAAAAAAATGTAAGGACCTCACGTTTTGCAGGGCACGAAATCCTTCCGAGGTGGAAAGGCTTTTTAGATAACTCAATTTAATATTTATATAAATGATCTCGTGTTTTTCATAACACGAGATCCCTGAGAAATTGAATTTATCACGGAATTTATTATATGGGTCTCGCTTTTTGCATGACGCGAGGTTCATGCATTTCCAAAACACAAAACAAAGGTGTATTGGCATATTCGAGGTATTTTCCCGGGTTGTAAATTGGAAAGCTTTCATAATTTATAAGATTAGAGACATGGTATTGAAACTTATCTTTCAGTTGAGACTAATATCAACACATACGAGATATTGTGAACGTGGTAAAAATCACGTTGAATATAGTTCCAAAGCTTGGTTTTGTGCATGAAGAACAAACTAATATGGCTTGATAGTCATGTTCAATGGGTATTTATGGGAAGTTCATCGATTTTTTTTTTATAATTTTTAAGCTTAGAGGCGTATTATTGCAACTTATCTTTTAGATTTTTTTGAGTATGCTAATATCGACACTTACAAGACATTGTAAACGTGATAAACTTTGTTCAATGGGTATTTCTGGGAAGTTCATCGGAAATTTTTTTATAATTTTTAAGCTTAGAGGCGTAGTATTGCAACTAATCTTTTAGTTGAGGCTAATATCGGCACATACGAGACATTATAAGCATGGTAAAAATCGCGTTGAAAAAGATTCAAAACTAAAAGAAATTGAAAACTAATGAATATATTTTGTTAATTAGAAAAGTAGTAGTACAATGAAAAAGCACAATTAATTTATACGAGGGCCTAACCGATTAGGATATTTGTTCTTCATGTGTTCGGGATTCCTACATATAGTGTATAGTTTCAGCCGTCCGGTTCTTTCTTTATGTTTGACCAAATTCTCGTCATAGTAAATTCGCGTTGGTCGTGGACAACCTTTTTTTATGTCGTAGTGCATAATATGGTAGTTTTTTAGGTTCATCAACTTCATCCGAATCAACTATATTTCCAATGAGAGGAAACACATATTGATAAACCTTGAATACAATTTCAATTAAGTATATCAAAACAACGTATGTAATGTAATGAATCCGTACAGAAGAGCAAGCATCAATGTCGTGCGTACACAAGTATTTGAATGTTTAGAAGACTCCACACTCGTAGGTTCTTTGTCGTAAATTAACCACATATGAGTTATGTTGTATATCTTATAATGGCCTCGAAAATTTCAAAACATGGAATTTATTTTGTTCGCGAGAGATACGTATCACATTCAACACATTTGAATATTGCATAAATGTTTCGAATTTTTTGAAGAGGTTTGGGTGGACTAGTGACTAGTTTTCATCCTATCAATTGTTTGTTTTCCCAAGGTTACGAAAAAAGTTGCCAATCGATATTATGTCACTTTGATAACGAAAGTGATAGGCAAATGTCGCACTCCCTTCAGTGATAAATTGATCACCTTAGCCAAGTTCGTTGTCATGTGACCATATTGTTTACCCCCATCAAATGAGCGAAGTCATTTTTCCATCAAAATTTTAGCAAGGTAGTTATAACCTTATAAAATCCTATCTCTCACTTCTCGAAGCAGCTCCTCAACCTCACATACGAAATGTGTATGACCTATTCATTAAAAATAGAACAATTAATTAGAAAAAATAAATGAAAAAATATCTTAAATCTAAAAGAGTGAAAGATGTACTCATTTGAAGCACCATTAGACGTTTATCTTCACTCTTGAACTTCTGCAAATAATTTGCAGCAATATTGCGTAAACAATATATGTGATAAACATAGGGAAGTTGCCAAGGTAGGCCCATACACTTGTGTATTTGTTCCCTACACCTTTTTAAGAAATAAGACATATCCCGTCATGTCTATCACACATAAAATGACATAAAATATGTCTTCGTAAGCTCTTAAGAAGGGATTCTCAAGAGTCTATATCTTCATTTTCGACTATTATGAAGGTGATGAGAATAGTTTTCTATTTTCGTCTTGTGCAACTGCCAATAATAGTATTTAGGTGTATTTGTCGTACAACCAAGTGTCTTCAATCTAAACCACTGGTTTGGAGTGGTGGAATGCATTAACACACTATGGAAATGACCAAAATAGCTGGTAGAACCATACAACCTTCTATGACACAATCATTTTCGTAAGCCACTACAGTTTTCAGTTTCACAATTGATAACCGTCGTTTTGTTATCAAAATAATTATGGCTTCTTAATTAAATAGAAAGGAAAAGGTAGTATAGAGAAGCAGGGTCGATCTACATGGACTATGGTTTTTTTGATTTAGTAAAATTGTTTCTTGATTTTAGGAAGAGATAGAGTTTCAGGTAAAGTTGAAAAGATTTAATAAAATAAAATAGATAATAATAAATAAAAAGGGAAATAAAAAATAAAAAATATTAATAGTAATAAATAAAAAAGGGGTTTTTGAATTATTTAAAGAAATATAATGAAATAAAATTAAATAAAATAAATAAATAAAATAATTAAATTGGGATAAAGAAAACTTATTGTGAAAACAACCTCAGACTTCAGCTTTGCCTCAAATTCCTCAGATCATCGAAACAGATTTTTACTTCAAGATTCACGTAGACTTACAAGGACAATTCTTTGCTACCAACTTGAATTATGTCGTTTCAA